TCCCCTTCAGCCAGAAGATGAAATGCAGCCCTGTTATGAACAAGTGTTTGAGATTGCTTCAAAAATCACTGCAAGAGTATCAGTAAAACCCAGATTTAATATTAAGTGACAGCACGATAAAGTTCATTGGTAATATTCACTTCACTACTTACTAGATGGTTAAGGAACACCAAGAGATGAAAAGCAACAAAAAAAGTCCAGTCAATCACAATAGAAATTAACTGAGAATTACCTATTTGTGTGTGTGTTTAGATATGTGTGACAAAAAAAAAATAGAATGGGCAAGGGTAAAAAGGAATAAGGCCTAAAAGCACTCAAATATAACAGTACTTAACTTTTACCTGAAACATCACAATTTAGCAAAGAACAACACCTAACAACAATGAACTTAGCCTTTAACWTATAATGAACTTGCTTACAGGCCTAACTGACTGATACATCTAAGGTACTAAATTATCTAAAAGTGCAGCATTTCTCCCATATTTGCCATAGCATATGAACACCTGTATGCACCCAGACAGAAAGAGACAGCGCACCTGTGAAAAACYCCCCTCAAAAGTAGTGAAATACTCACTTGGGATGCCTTTGCAGCTCCTCACCAGGCCAAGAGATGAGCCTTGAGGAGTTGGGGATCAGTCCAGGACTGGCTGTTGTTCAGTGATTCTCCAGGCACAGCAAACTTGAGAGTTCCCAGCCAGGAGAGGGAGGGAGGTTGCTGTTTACAGCCCCCTGCAGTCCAGGAGAGCTCAAAAGGGCTCATTTTGGATGCTCATTTTGTTCAAAGGGTCACAAGAGAGCAGGCTTTAGTCATAATGATGTTTCATCCTAGCCATACTTTGGGTCAACATGCTTGCTTTGAAAGTGTGACAAGGATTTTATGCCATTCACACACACAAAAAAAAAAAAAAAATTGACAAGGCTGTTCATAAAATCCTTCAGGATCATATTAGACAACAATAGCTCCTGGGAGCAGAGAGTGTGTCTGATAAGCTCAAGAGGAGCTGGGCCCMGTTGCCGCTCACCAAGGCCGAGGCCTAACGAGCCTTTCTCAGAGCACGGCCTGACAAGGGGAGGGGGAAGCACCACCACAATTCCACTACAACGGAAGAGAGAGGCACCACCAGAGGCTGCCAAAGAGACACAACACACAACTGTGACTCCCCCCTTTTTGCTCCATTTCAATTTTGAGCTGAGGTTGAGCAGTTCTCCCAAAAACTTAGTGGTTTTCTATCAAGCTCTTTCCTCTGGAGTTCCCCGCCTCCATCTCTCTGGTCTGAGGACATTCCTCTCACTGGGACTGTCCTGTGGCAGTTCCTGCTCTCCACCTGGACAGCACGGCCTGGCACAGACACAGCTCTGCTCATGAGGGCCCATCACAGGCTCAGGGGTTGTGTCTTGGTCTGGTCAAAACCCTGCTGCCACCAACACTCGAGAAAACACCGCGGTGTGCCCGGCATGGTGCAGCCCCAACCTCCCCTCACAGGGAACCCCTGGGCCCAACAACTGCYCGGATCCAGACATGGATTTGCAAGCATAAATCTTGTCCAAGAGAAAGCAAAACCTTTCCTCTCATTGCAGAGCTATGATTTTGTAGGCACTCAGGGTTTACAGTGATCCCTCCACAAGACCATTAAATATCAGGAAAAATCCTTTTTCTGTAATGCAGCAGCTCTGTCCCATCAGTGCAATGCTGTCCTGAAGTGTACAGAGCAAAGCCAGTGGCTTCCCTACCTGCACTATCTCAGCTTTCTATATAGATAGATAGATATTGCCCTTAAAACCAAGCTTTAATTTTTTCATCACCCCTGAAGTGTAAACACAGGAGATATCCATAGGACTTTATTACTGATATACTATTAGTTTTTGCTCCTCAATTGTTCAATATTTAAATAGTTCCTAATTAGATTAAAACAAGAAGGAAAGATGCTCTGCATGTTTTCACTCAGTAATTAAAAATATTTTTTAAAATATTTCACTCAGTTAACAAAATATCTGCATTTCCTCCATGCTTGTCCTGAGCTGCAGTTGTTCAAAAGAGATAAGGCAGGAAGGGTGCAGGAGAAAAGCATKCAGAGTCTTGATATTAGGATTTCCTGACTTTTTGATCTAGGGACCTCAGCCAGATTCACTGATASCAGCTCAATCTGCTGCTCCTCAGCACCCCAGTGCTCAATAGGGCACATTGGGGACAAYGTGTGCTGGGGCAGAGCTGCACTGCTCAGGCTCAGTAACACAGACATTAAAGCAGCAACACTCAATCCAAGATGGAGCAAGAGCAGCCTGGAGATCTGGGCAAAACCAAGTTATATCTAATGCAGTAATACAGGGATTCCATAATGAAAAGTCTTATTTCCAAGGGTGTCAGATGGGAGAGGGGCAATGGGAAATTTCCCTCTGTGTGAGCTGTTTCTCCGAGCATTTCTCTCCAGCTGTTAAGAACATCAACATGCTTCTGCATTGGAGCAGACACACAGCTGTAATGGACTGTCCAGATCTTAGGCAACCATTAACCTAACCAGCTAGCTAACAAAAGCTGATCATCTGGGATTCCCATGTGAAAAAAAGCAGAAAGCAAGGGATTCCAGAGAGGGAAGAGATTCACCCTGAAACAAGCTTCAATGGAAGCCATCCAATCTGTGTAGAATGTGACCCCAATACAGCTGTGTGTCATACACATGCATAAAAAGGGGGTCTGGTACTATCAGACATGCACAAGGGCGTCTGAAATATGCACAGGGACTGGGGTACAAAGGCTTGGATTATCCTTCCCCTTCTGCAGATGTGTGGATAGGATAGATTTGAACCAGGAGGCAACACCCGTGTTTCAAGCACCTGATCCAAATCTTCATGCTTTGAAAACTCAGCATTGGAGACCCTGATTTTATAGCACTGTTTTTTTAAGGCACAAGATTCCCGACACAGAGTTGAGGCCAGGTGCCAGCYATGGTATTGTTTTGCTGGTGTAACACTTTTATTTTCTGATCCTGTACAAGCAAGGTGCCAGCATAGACAATTAATCTTAAAATCTCTTGTAACAAATAACTTCCATTCTCCTCACAAACATATGAAGAGGAGAGATACTAGAAAACTAATAAACAAGGACAAAAACATCCAACCCTATTTTGTATTTTCAGCAAAACCAGAGGAAACTCAAATCCAAGCATAAAGCAGACAATATGCAATGCTAGGAAATGAACCTTTTCTTAAGGCAATGCTCTGCCCTTCAACAATATCAAAAATTAGCAAAAGAAATAAAATTTTTGAATGAATGCATCCAAAACTAACTTGGTCATCATAGGTGACCAAGGGACACAAGAACACAGATCCTGAAGCCTGACACTGATCAAACAGGGATCACTCACAAAACCACAACACTATCCACTGCAGAAAAACATCTCCGCTCTTTGTGTCACCCAACACAGCCCCACTGAGCAAACATTCAAATAGTCAAGAGTGACACTGGCCCCGGGTAAGGGGATACCCAGCACATTTCCATCCCTGCACCTGCCCTGCTCCCCACAGCAGCGCCACCAAAATCCCCCCCAGCAGCAGCAGCTCTATAAAGCTCCTCTTGCCATCCCTCACACTCAGACAACAGCAGCCACTGCCCTGCCTTAGGCACTGCTGCCACAGCCCCCTTGGCCAGCACAGCTCTGCTCCCCAGCTCGCAGCATGGAAGTTTGTCACTCTCCACAGCAGGACAATGTCACTTCATATGGAGCCACGTTTGTGGCCATCATCACCCTCGAGACATTTGCTGGCATGTGGATAAACGCTTTCATTGTTTGTGTGATCAGCATTGCCTGGGTAAAAAAGAAAATCTTGAACTCTAATGAGAAGATCTTGCTGCTTCTGTGCTGCTCCAGGWTTTGCTGTTTGTGTTTCTCCTGGGCATATTGCTTTCTGTCGATAATTTATCCTGATTATCTTTATGTTCACCCCACATTTCAACTAACTGTATTTTTTCAAAGCTTTTTTAATTGTTCACACTTATGGATTTCTGCCTGTCTCTGTGTTTTTTATTGTATAAAGATTGCCAATGTCAGGAACTGGTTCTTCACCTACCTGAAAGTAAAAATTGACAGAATTGTACCTTGGCTCTTGTTGGGGTCAGTGCTTTCAGCTTTGGCTGTTGGCATCACCAGCTATGACATTGCTGATAGAAAGATCAGGAGCAGCCACAATTCCACCAGTCCCAGATTTTTTTCAAAACTGAGTAACAAAATGGATGAATATTTTTTCCATATATACTTTATTTGTGGCTTTGGATTTCTCACTTCATTCATTGCAGTCATCTCTTCTGCCCTTCTCCTTCTCTTTTCTCTCTGGAGACACAAATGCAAAATGCAGACAAACTCCATGAGCAGCCTCAGCGTGGATACCCACATCAAAGCCATGAAATCTATTCTCTCCTTCTTTACCATGTACAGCTTTAACTTTATATTTTTGATCTTATCACTGATTCCTTCAACAAAGGAAGAAAAGTATGTGTTTTTTCCTAGTTTACTATTTCTGTATGCTTTTCCAGGTGTTCATTCCCTTATTCTGATTTTCAGCAATCCCAAGATGAAAAAGACACTGATTCTGTGGGGGGCTCTGTTCTGTGGCAAGTGCAAGGTTTGCATGAGGTAGGAACTGCAATCTGTGCTGGAGTGCATGCAAAATGTTGGTATTTCATTATCAGACACCAGTCAATTAATCTCTAATGCAGCTCTCCAGGCAGTGTATATGATACAGGTATTTCCACTTTACCACTGAAGTTAAGAATAGATCCTTCAAATTCTTTCAATCAAATTAGTATGAATTTAGTTATTGTTAGCATTTCATTTAGGTTATTTTTTGAGTTCTGTTCTTGTCAATAACAAATTCATTTAGAACTGGTACATGTCCTGGATGCAAAGGGACAGTAACCATATTGCAGACTGCCACAAACACTTTGGCATTTGCTGACTGAAGCAAATGAAGTCAACATCAGGTTGATTTGTATTTGGGTTTACATTTCTTTGTGCTSTGGCTCTGTCCTTTGCAATGCTAATACTTGCAACACTGGGTGGGGTGGGTGCATCTAGATGGACTGCAGCCTATGGAGACCCCACACTGGAGACGCCTGATCCTGAAGAACTGCAGCCCATGGATGGGATCCACTCTTGGGCAGGGAAGAGAGCAAGGAGGAAGGAGGGAAGGAGAGAACTTGTTATGGACTGACTGCAACCCCCATTCCCTTGTCCCCCTGCCTTGTTGTGGGGAATGAGATGGAGAAGCTGGAAACAAAAGAGTGAATTTTGGCTGATGATGAAGAAGGGATGAGGGAAGCTTTTCTAGTTTTGTGCTTGTTCCTCATTATGCTATTCTATTTTCAATAGCCAATAAATTAAGTTCATTTTTCCACATTTGAGTCTGTTTTCTCCATGACAGTAACTGGTGAGTGATCTGCCTGTTGTTCTATCAACAGAAGGGCTTTTTCATCTTCTATCACTCCTTGATTTCCACCCCCGCCCTGCTGTGGAGCGAGAGTAAAGGAGCGGCTGGGTGGAGGCCTGGCTGGTGCCCAAGGCCGACCAGCCACAACAGGTTGTCTGAATATGAAATCATTCCAGTATGAACACWGCAGAATCTGATTTTTTCATTTCTGTCAACAGCTCGGGCACAGAGAAACACCTTTCCCAATGCCAGGTGCCAAGAGTTTGTTTGTTTGCMTCTCAGAAATGATTGTTTGGTCTCCTGTCCTCATGGAGGAAAAGATCTGATAGGGGTGGAACCCAAACCTCAGAGGCCTCCTGAAGCTCTGCAGAATTCAGAGGCATCAAAATACTGTCCAGGGCACCACC